GTGAATCAACTAATGTAGGATATGAAGATCACTCCTTCCTCAACCTTAACAAAATTGGGTGAATACATCTCACATTAGTGATTTACTGGTAATCTTGAAACTCTACTTAAATATAAAAAATAAGTAATCTATTCGATTGTTATACCAAATTTACGTTTGCTTCTTCGACAATCCCACCAAACAATATGATATGGCAAAGGGCCTGGCCTTCCTTGAAATCCACATCTGTCCTGTGACCGATGGGCACTCGTGGCAATGTGGCCGAGTTGTTAACGTGTCAAGCTCCCATTCTGCACTATCACGGTTCCACTCCCACTGGATCAAGGATCTACCGCTGACCGGAGAAAAGGGATCGCTTTTAAGAAAGTGGCGGGCAAGGGTTTTCGGAAATAAGGCGAAGACGCTGTTAATGGGCGATGTCCGTTTCGAATAAACCAGTACAACTTTCGGGGCCGGGTAGTCAGGGAGCTGCTGGGTATACGGATAAGCAAACCATCACGGAAATTTGGCGTTATGGCCAAAATGTACTAGAAATCCACCTTAGATGCCCCTTGCGGCCAGAGATAGGCGTCCACAGTTTGCTCAGATAACATGGGTTTAATCAAGGATAGGATCCGTGAGAGTAAGGCCTGATATCTTCAAGCATGACTATCAGAGCTTAAGTGCTCTGTTCAGTGAGTGGGAAATAGCGCCTAGAGTGAAATGCACGCTGGTACTGGAACCGAATAAAATCGGTCAACCAGAAAGATAATAACGGATCTACGAGACAATAAGGGGATCCGGATTGGAGGCCCGAGTTGGCTCGAAAGAGAGGTGACAAAGTACCACTTCCACGGTCCTACTTTGGAAATGATGATGCATACAATTGACTCCGTTCCTCTAAGTCTTCCTCTCAATGTGATCAAGTTGCGAAAACAAGTTCAATCAACTTCTATACAACACTGTGACCATACAAAAAGCCACACCATCTTGGTTTTCATACCTTCGATTAAAATTTATTATTTTAAAAAATATAGGATTGAATAAACACTGTTTTTATTGGTGTTCTCAAGCTTTTGGGACCTAATCTTGATCTGATTGTTTACAATTTTGTGTGCACTAGTATTCTTTTAGTTATACCTATGCTAAGTGATTTACTTCTTGTGTACCTTGTTTTATTATTTCTTTATGATTTTGCCTATACGCACCCTATCCTTATCTTTCTTTGCCTTAGGAAAGTCTGCAGCCCTACGTCGATACCAACGTCAGGCTGCGCGCGAGTCAACAGCCAAGGCTAATCAACGCTCGTTAGTGGACGCTGAACTAGCGGCACTGGGTGGCGTGGCAGTTGATGCGGCCGCAGTCGACCAAGCTGACAGGTATGAAAACAATTCCTATCTTGATGCTTTGGTTACTATTAGTGAGTAGCTTTAATGAGACGGAAGTATATGAAATATCCTAAGAGCCATCCGTCATGTAGAATTCATATTTCGCTTCATCTACGAGTTTGCATTGGATAAATATCTACTTTTAAGATTCGTTTAATTGTGCATTTAAAATCAAAAACCTTAAATGGTAAGTTTGTCTATGTAACTTCAATATGGCACCAAACAATGATGTTTTGAGCAGTTGGATTACATGTTTTTTGCTACAAATAAATTCAGATTTTCACTAGGACAACAGAAGCCAATCAATCCAAGTAATACACTCCTTTCACAGATGCTTTTAAAATTCACACTTCCAATACTTAGTCTGTAGTATGCTCAGGAACGATTATTTAATGAATTTTGGGCGATACCACAGATGTTTAAATCTACTTTTGAGGATGATACTTTGTGGTTCAGCCAGCTTTGAAATTGCTTTCCTTTGTGTGTTCATGTATTTATGGACTTCGATGCCTTTTCGAGATTCTAGCTCGTTGCTCGCATTCATTGTTATATATTTCTAGCTAGGAAGAGAAAGTGGGTTTCAATTAATCTCCTGAGATAACATTGTTGGGGGAATTTTCATTTTCTATGAAAGTGCATGAAGAAGAGATTCGTAGGTCGATATCACCAAAAGATATCGGCTGAAT